GGCGGCGCGGAGGAGAGGGCGCGGGGGTCCCGGCCGCTCGCTGCTCCCGGCCCTGGCCTTCTCAGGCTCCGCCTCCTCGCGCCGGCGGCCGCCGCTGACCTGTTTCCTTCCACCTGGCCGGGGCGGGGTCCGCGGGCAGCGGGGGCCCCTTAGGGAAAGCCAGGCTTGCAGGGGCTCTGCGGCTCCAGGACTCGGCCCTCTGAGCGACGACCGAGGCAGGGGTGGAGGGGTGACTCGAAGGCGGGAGAGCGCGGCTGGAATTATGACCCCGCCGGACCTTAGACCCGCGGTCGGTGCGAAGCCGCCAGGACTGCCCGGGGACAGCCCGCGTTTCTCCCCCGCCCGCAGCGGCCGCCACCAAAGCCCGGCGTTGTTTCCTGCCCCTCCTGTCGGGAACAATTTGAGGAACCAACTTAATCGCTGTCCTGTGAGGGCGAGACACTTCCAGGCGCTCTCCGCGGCTCTGACACGGGGACCCGTGGAGCCTGGGTGACGGCGCCGGGGCCGGAGGGGGGTGGCGGAGATGTTTGAGGTCACTGGTCAAGATCAAGCAGTGTGACCGTCCCATCGCCCTTGGAAAAAACGTTTCAAAACTTGAAAGGTGTGTTTTGTGCAAAGTGAAGTTTATGACAAACGGGCCGTGCTTTCCTGGAATTACGGAGGGGATGAGGGTGCCTTGTTTAGTGAGGCAGCTTGTTATAGAGTCGGGTTAAACCTGATCTCAAATATCGGTACTTGGGCGTTTATCAGCTGTATGATCATGAGCTCTACTTTTCTGGTCCTCAGTGGCGTCATCTGTAAAATACAGATTTTGATAATACAGCCTCTCACCAAAAGGCCCTCTTCCCTGTCGCCGCTCCTGTTCTGTGAAAGGGTGGCAAGAGACATATTTTATCCATAAACCACCAAGGGGAAAAGAATCTTTGACCACAAATAGAGGGTAGCTTTGGATTCACAGTGAAGGCATTCCTGCTGATCTGTTTCAAGACAGGTTGAAAAAGAGGTCAGAAGGGACATTTCATCCACAATATCTTATCAGCTGAGCTGAGAAGAAAGCAAAAACTACAATCTAATAAAACAAAGAATGACTGCATTTTCTTTTAAGTCTATGGCCTAGCCAGGTGGACCTCAGGGAGTAAAAGTTAAGGCTTCAAAAGCATAACAAAGATTAAGATTTGGAGAAATTCCGTTCATGTGCCTTTGGTAAGCACCTTGTGTTGGTAGGTAAATACAGCAAAGATGTAAAATATAGCACTTTCCCATAGAGCAGTAGTTCTCAAAATGTGGTCCCTGGACCAGCAGTGTCAACATCCCTGGGGAACTTGTCCCAAATGCAAGTTCTCAAGCCCCAGCCCAGACCCACTGAATCAGAAACTCTGAGGGTAGGGCCAGGAAGCTGTGTTTGAACAAGCCCTCCAAAAGACACTGATGCATGCTGAAGTTTGAGAGCTGCTGGTTTAGAGAAACTGCTAATGCAATTGGGGAAATAAGAGATATACAAAATAGCTGGAGGAGTCTAAGGCATCACTCATAGCATTTAGTGAATGGGTAAGACAGGAGAGAAGTCTAGACAACTCCATTTCCGTTATACAAAAGACAATCCCTTCTTAAAACACTTGGTGCCAGATGGATTTCAGGATTCAGACTTTGGGGGCTGGCCGGTTAGCTCACTTGGGAAAACGTGGTGCTGTTAATTCCAAGGTCAAAGGTTTGGATCCCCTTACTGGCCAGCTGCAAAAAAAAAAAAAATTCAGATTTTTGTTTTTAAATTTAGAAAGGTAAAATGTACACATATACCGTATACTGTATTATACAAGAGTACTTCAAAAAGTTGATGGAAAAATAGAATTAAAAGACAATATGAATCTTTCCATGAACTCCTTGAAATACCTTTGTATAACACCCTCAGTGAGGTCTGGAGTGGCACTCTAATCAGATACACCAATTTTCTGCAATGAAAATATACAAATGACATAAATGAATGTTTGGGTTATCTAGTGCAATGTAACAAATGTTCCGCAAACATTGGTGGCTTTAAAATAACAACCATTTTATTTGCTCAGGAATCTGTGGGTCAGGAATTTGGACAGGGCTTAGCTGGCAGGTTCTTTTGCTCCATGTGGTATTGATTGGAGTTGTTCACTCGGCTGCTTTCAGCTGGTGGCTGGGCAGGGCTAGGAAGTCCAAAAAGGATTCACTTCCATTTGGGCACTTCATTGTTCTTCCATCGAGCCTCTCTCTCCATGAAGAACAAGAACAAAAATCTCTTAAGATCCAGCCCTGAAAGCCACACTACATCATTTCTGCCACATTCTATTAGTCAAAGCAAATGCATGGCCAGCATAAATTCAGAGGGAAAAGAGACACCACCTCTGGACGGGAGAAGCAGCAAAGAATTGTGGCCCTCTTTTAATCCGCTAAGTGGGATCAATAAAGACAATAAATAGCTTCACATTAGTTTTAAATTAGGTTTTTCTACCAAATACGTGTTCTGCAAACTTAAAAAGAAACTTTTGGTTTTCAGCTTTTGGGATTTCAGAATTGTAGAGAAATGATTGCACAATGGTTGCTTGCCAATTGGCTGCCCTTTCGAACTGCTGCTTAAGTTAAGGTGCTCATCTTCTACCTGGAACCTTCCTGATTGGTGCCCATTCCTCCAATAACACCCTTATCCAGTCCACCCTCCATCTTCACCAAAGCAATATTGTCCTGACACCCCAGGCTAAGGTACCTCTGTACCCAGCGTAAGGTAGTCCAACATATCTCTTCCAATCCCTTTTCCCAGCCACTTAGAACGTTTCCCATTCCAGCCCCAAATAACATTTTTCATGTATCTTTGTGGGAGTGACCACTTTATACCCATAACCAGCTTTCTCTCAGCCTAGAAAGCCTCCTTCCTATCTTCACATACAGCTAAAAATCTGCATCCTTCACAAGGTCCATTTTAAATGCCACCTTTTCTGTGATTTCCTCTGGATTTCCATAAGCTTTGTTCTTTTCTTCTTTGTCTTAGAATCCATTAATTTTCTGTACTTCTCTTTATCACTTCACCAGGCATGTGAATTGCCCTTTGTCTCCCTGCTGCCACAGGAGGTATTAAATGAGTGCTGAGGCTCAAACTTTATTCATAAGTACAAAAAAAAAGTCAAAGGAAAAGGTAAGCCCTGCCCGCCTATGGAGAGAGACTTCAGGCAGAACAGAAATTTAAGCTGAGACTTGTGAGAAGTTTCTGATTTGTAAAAACGGAAAAGAAAGTGGAAAGGTGGGACATCACTCCAGCCTACAGGTACAGCCCAAGTGATACCACAAATGCCAGGATGAGCAGATCATATGCAAATAGGTACAGAGGGAATCTAAGGAGATCTGTTTGCAGGGGGTGTAGGGTTGAATGTTTATGCAGACTCTGAAATATGGTCACCACAGGGCCGTATTACCCAACATGCAAAAGTTATGAGACACAGCACTCTCAAGCGTCTATGGGGCGCAGGCCACTCAGTGAGGGCCCAGGACTCATGAATAATTTAAAGAAGTAAATGGACAGTTTGTGACTTCCACCTGCTGTCTAAGAAAGAGAGGACCAAGGGACATTCTCATTTATAGAGTATTTTTCATAGGTTCACCTACCATATGTTTCTCTTCATTGTTATTCTAGTTTAAAATTCATCATGGTTGTTTCAGGCAAGAATCATCAATGGATGTTAAAATTAGTGGGTAAAAGTACTTGTATGCTGAGAAAAAGGATATTAATATCAGATCAAAGTCTCTTCCCAGAAGATACTATTTTCTCCTTGAAATTCATAACTTTACCATGGAGAAACCTGTGGGACACCAGCAGACATCATGTACATCCTGACATGATGCACTAAGAAGGATACAACATCAATTCCATAGTATTCTTACCAAAATGCATAGCCTGAAATTATTCATGAGGAAAGAGCGGACAGACCAAAATTGAGAGACATTTTATTGTGTCAAGTTCACGAAAGACAAACACCGAAAAACTGTTCCACACTACAAGAGACTAAGGAGATCTGACAGTAAAATGCAATGTGAAATATTGAATTAGATCCTGGGCCATAAAAAGAGCGTTAGTGGGATAATTGGTGAAATCTGAAAAAAATGTTGTAGATCAGATATCAGCATTTTATCAATGTTAGTTTCATAATTTTGATCCATGTACTCTAGTTAAGCAAGATGTTAACATTTAGGGGATCTGAGTAAAGTTTACAGGAAATCTTTTTACTATTTTTGCAACTTTTTTTATAAGTCTGAGATTATTCCAAAAAGGAAAGTTAAGAAAATAAAAATAATTATGGTTGATTTAAAACAGAGTTCTGTAATCCTAGTTGTACTTCACATACTTCAGGCACATTGGACTCTGTGGTTTATCCACCCCGGAACTTCCTGCCTCCTCTTATCTTACTATTAATATTTGTCTTGTAGGGAAAATAAGAACTTGGCTGAGAAGTAAGAGTGTTTTTCCCACTCCAGTCCCAAAAGCCACCAGTCAGT